TACAGTTAGGTCGGGCATATCCTCCAACAAGCGGCTCTTGGGAGACAAATGAATGATATGAACAAGGAGGTGTCCAACAACAGTCAACAAATAACCGGCAAATCGTCCCCATACTATTTGTTGACTACCTCTATACATTCCTCCTGTAGAGGGACATGCCCGACTTCAGGCTCAGGGGCACCTGGCCCCATCTTTAGGGAAGAAGCGGTCATCGGCAAACCACTAAGAAGGCTGTGGGGCAGCTTGCAGGGAATCCGTGCTGCCAGAAACCACCATTTGGACGACAACGGGCCACAGCGTGGAAGTCAACGGCACGGCTGGAACCGGATGCCAGTGGCCGTGGTGGAGCGAGCCCGCGCGGATGATGTGCATCCAAATGCCTGTATTCGTCGGCGTCGTCCGTGGTCGGCCTCGTCCGTGGTCGTCGTCGTGGTCGTGGTCGTCGGCGGCGGCGGCGGCGCCTGGGCAGGAGGCGCAGGCGCGAAGGTCCCCGGGCGCCCGCGGAAGTTGGTGATGGTAGTGATGATGATGAGGAGGAGGAAGAGGAGGAGAAGGAGGAGGAGGAGGAGGAGGAGGAGGAGGAGGAGAGAAGGGGAGGAGGAGAGGAGGGAGGAGGAGAGGAGGAGGAGGAGGAGGAGGAGAGGAAAAAGGAGGAGGAGGAGGGGAGGAGGAGGAGGGAGGAGGAGGAGGAGGAGGCAGGAGGAGGAGGGGAGAGGGGGGGGAAAAAGGAAGAGGAAAAGGAGGATGGAAAGGAGGAGGAAAAGGAGAAGGAAACGGGAGAGGAAAGGGAGGAGGAAAAGGAGGAAAAGGAGGAAAAGAAGGATGATGATGATGATGATGATGATGATGCTGATGATGATGATGATGCTGATGATGATGATGATGAGAGGAGGAGGAGGAGGAGGAGGAGGAGGAGGAGAGGGGAGGAGGAGAGGAGGAGGAGGGGGGGAGGAGGGGGGGGAGGAGGGGGATGAGGGAGGAGGGAGGAGGGGGAGGAGGAGGAGGAGGAGGAGGAGGATGCGGAGGAGGAAGGAGGAGAAGGAGGAGAGCCAGTCCTCTAATAGCCTCCGGTTTTGGGCCACTCGTAGTGAAGAGAGCACTGTGCTATCCACATCCCTCGTTATTTATCCTACTGCTCCTCCTCCCACCCAACTCCTCCTCCTCCTCCGCATTTTCGCCTCCTTTTAATCCTCCTTTGACTAAACCCTCTTCCTCCGTCCCTTTTACTCCTCCTTTTCATCCTCCTTTCCTACTTCCTTTTCCTCCTCCTTTTCACCCCCCTCCCCCTCCTCCGCCTCCCCTTCATCCTCCCTCCTCCCCTCCTCCTCCTTCTCCTACTCCTCCTCCTCCTACTCCTCCGCCTCCTCCTCTCCTCCTCCTCCCCCTTCCCTTTTCTCCCTCATTCTGGTCTTGGTCCACCTCCGCCCAACTCTCCTTCGGTTGGGTTTCGTTTTGGATAAAGCACTGTGGTCTACCCCTCCTTTTCTCCTCCCCTCCTCCCGCCTCCCATCTTTCTCCCTCCGCCGCAGATCACACCAAAAACCTCGGCGTTGGCTTGGGGGGGCTGCGATGTGCGAAACTGTCCACTTTCGTGGGCTCCTGGGAGGTCCAACGGAGGGGTGCCCCACGCAGATCACCCCCAGACCTCGCCGTCCCCTGAGTGGCTCCGATGTGCGGAACTGTCGCCACGTTCGTGGGCCCCTGGGAGGTCCAGCAAGGGGGTGTCCCATGCAGATCGCCACGAAACCTCGCCGTCCCCTGGGGGTCTGCGATCTGCAAAACTGTCGCCACTTTCGTGGGCTCCTGGGAGGTCCAACGGAGGGGTGCCCCACGCAGATCACCCCCAGACCTCGCCGTCCCCTGAGTGGCTCCGATGTGCGGAACTGTCGCCACGTTCGTGGGCCCCTGGGAGGTCCAGCAAGGGGGTGTCCCATGCAGATCGCCACGAAACCTCGCCGTCCCCTGGGGGTCTGCGATCTGCAAAACTGTCGCCACTTTCGTGGGCTCCTGGGAGGTCCAACGGAGGGGTGCCCCACGCAGATCACCCCCAGACCTCGCCGTCCCCTGAGTGGCTCCGATGTGCGGAACTGTCGCCACTTTCGTGGGCTCCTGGGAGGTCCAACGGAGGGGTGTCCCACGCAGATCACTACGAGACCTCGCGGTCTTCTGGGGGCTGCAATCTGCTAAACCATCGCCACTTTCGTGGGCTTCTGAAAAGTCCAGCGGAAGGGTGTCCCACGTAGATCGCCACGAGACCTCGCCGTCGCCCGGGAGGCTGCGATCAGCGAAACTGTCACCACTTTCGTGGGTTCCTGGGACGTCCAGCGGAGGGGTGTCCCACGCAGATCACCACCAAACCTGGCCGTCGCTTGGAGGGCTGCGATCTGCGAAAGTGTCGCCACTTTCGTGGGCTCCTGGTCCAACGGAGGGGTACCCCACGCAGATCACCACTAAACCTCTTCGTCCCTGGGGTCTGCGCTCTGCGGAACTGTCGCCACTTTCGTGGGCCCCTGGGAGGTCCAACGGAAGGGGTCTTCCACGCAGTTCACCACGAGACCTCGCCGTCCCCTGTGGGGGTCTGCGATCTGCTAAACTGTCGCCACTTTCATGGGCACCCGGGAGGTCCAGTGGGGGGGATGTCCCACGCAGATCACCACGAGACCTCGCCGTCGCCTGGGGGGCTGCGATCTGCGAAACTGTCGCCACCAGTCTCATGAGGCATGGGTGGCCGGGTATATCAACCTGGCGGCAGCAAGGCACAGGGCTGAACGCATGAGGCACAGGCAGGTGCAGATCGCACATCGCAGCGTGTGCGGGCGCCGCGCAGCGAATAACGCATGGCGATGTTTGTTGCCCATGCCGCATCCCTTCTTCCGCTGCCTGTTGCTTATAATGCGTGCGGGCACATGCTGTGTTTAATGCACGGCGCTGTACTGTCATAGCGCGCAGAACGCTGTCCGGCAATGCGAACACAGCGCAAGGCGCCGCTACTCCCACGAATGTTTCCAATCGTCCCTCCTCCACATGGTTCCACGCCCCCTCGTGGTCGCTCTCCTGCCAACGACCTGGCTCTTAAGAGACGCCGCAGATGTGAAACATCTGACTCTGGCCCGACGTTCTTTGGCGAAACGTTCGAGGGCATTGCGGATCATCCAATGATTGCTTGTGTATTGAGCGATCCTCTGCTAACTCGCCACATGCTTAAAAGGTTGGGTACGTCCCCGGGTTATTTGACAATCTTCTAACACTCCTCCTGTAGAGGGACGTGCCCGACCTAAGGCTAACACGGGCCTCCCTGGAGAAGCTGGGGAGGCCCAGCTCTGGGGACCTTTCTCTCTGGAGCCACTCGCTCCGCTCGTGCGTCGGAGCTGCGTCGAACGTCCGTCGACCCGAGACGCTCTTGAGTCGAACCTGAGCCGAACCTGGGTCGAACTTGAATCGAGCTCGAGTCGAACTGGGGTCGAACAGATCCGTTGGGTGGGCCCCAGAAAAGGTCCCTCACACGAGCATCTAAATTTATGTTGTTCCCATCGTACTTGAGAGCCAACATCCCAGACTTCGAGCGCCCGGAAAAGTGTCGAAAGAGTGCCGAAAGAGTGTCGAAACAGAGTCTCCCAGGGCCCGACACGTGAAAACCCTTGAGTTGTTTGGGGGCATTTTTCGAACACTCGAAATTCTTTCTGGTGATCAAGGCTATAGCAGGTTGGAACATCATAAATGTAAGCAAGCCAGGGGCACCTTTATGTCGGGCGTGTCCCCCTACAGGGGGATTTCCGACGAAACATGAAAATGACCCCAAAAATGCCCCCAAACAGGTCAAAACATACGCAGAAAAGAGTCCCCAGTCTATTCTTGGACTCCTTCTTGACTGTTTTCGGGGTATTTCTTACTCTCCGTCGAACGTCCCCCTGCAGGGGGGACAGGCCCGACTTCAGGGCACCTGCAGCAGCGCCCGGCGCGAGAGGCCCTCTCCTCCCCGAGACCTCCCCGCGCCGTGGCGTGGCGGGGGGGGGCGGCGCCCGGCTCCCGGGGGCCCCCGAGGCGCCGGCGAGGGGGAACAACACAAAGGTGGCTCCGGGAGGGCCGGCCGGCCCTGCAGAGGCCGGCCTGCCCTCCCGGAGCCTCCGCGTGCAGAGGCCTCCCTGGCAGAGGCCTCGGGCCCGCAGAGGCCTCCCTGGCAGAGGCCTCCCTGCAGAGGCATGGAGCCGGCCTCTGCATGCAGAGGCCTCCCTGGCCGAAGTCGGGCCCGGCCTCCCACAGAGGGGTTTTGGGCAGAAAAACGAAAAAAAGATGCCCCCCAAAAGTGCACCAGGATGGTCAACAAAAACAATCCCCCGAAAAAGAAAACATACCCCAACAATGCCCCAAAGTGGTCAAAGATTGTCCAAAAATAGTGCCCCGACTATTTTTGGACTATGTTTGAATATTCGCGCTGCAGAGGGACACGCCCGACTTAATCCCTGATGGGGTCCGAGCGATGGGGTCGGCGGATCGCGCCGCATCGGCGACGTCGGCGACGCATCGCCGACGTCGGCGTCGAGAAAAAATCGGGCTCCACGTCGTGCCGCATCGGCGATGCCTCGGCGGTGCGGCGCGATCCTCCGGCCCCCTCCACTCCGGCCCCATCTGGGAGGCCCGGACCCCGGGCCAGGAGACGAGAGGCCGGGGGCCCACGTTGTGAACAAACATGCCACGTCGGAGCTCGGGTGCGAGGAGGGCTCGAGCAGGGGGAGCAGGGCCACGAGCAGGAGAACGCCCCGTGCAGCCTCGGGGGCCTCCCCCCCTGCCTGGTCAGGCTCGTTGGGGATCCTGGCCTCCTGGTCCCGCCCCCTCTGACTACCTACCAGACCACCCCAACCCAACCCGAAGACCCGAATTTCGGGTTGGGGGGGTTACGGGGTCCACACGTGTTTTCTCGATGTTCCCCGACGCCCCCCACTGGAAACGGAGGGCAAATTGAGGCCTTCGGGTTGGGTTGGGGTGGTTTGGTGGGTGGTGACCCTCCCCCTGTCGGAAGGCCCGCGCGGCCCTTCGGAGTCATCCACGCCGCGCTTTCGCTCTCAGAACCGATACTTGTTCTCCAGGCTCTTGAAGGGCATGCGCGTGGCCACCTGCGGCAGCGAGAGGCCCCCCCCCCTTTCGGCCACCAGCTGGTCGGAGGTCGGAGGCCGCGGCTCGAAGACCTGCAGCGTGCGCCTCTGGATGCCTCCGGAAACCTCTTGGCCCTGAAATCGGGATAATTAGATTAACGGGCGAAGAACGGTATAACATCAACTTTTTCGCTGTCGGGGGCGCCTGTCCCAGGGCGGCTGGAAAGTTTATACCCTTACGGTGGCACCGTAGGGGTATAAATTTTCCAGCCGCCCAGTGACAGGCGCCCCCGACAGCGAAAACAAATATTTTATACCGTTCTTCGCTCGCTGATTAGAGACCGTTTTTTTTAATCGGCGATAACCTGGGTTTATCCGGGAGAAGGGGGGGTGAGGGGGCTGGCCGATGACCTAACCTCCGCGCCGTTTGCAGCCCTGCATATGCCCGCGCCTCCCCACCCTGGACCTGCACAACCGGCAAGGTTAGGTTATCCTGGGGGGGGGAGGGGGGGCAAGCCCGATAACCCGGGGAATCGCCGGACCCTAAACAAAAACAGTCCTACAGACCTCCTTCTCAAGGCAGCGGGCCCTGCGGGAGCAGGCTCCCGGGCACTGAGGCCCGCCATACGGCGGCGCAAACCCTTCCCGAGCCATTCTTTGGAAGAGGTCCCGGGGCCCCGGGAAGGGCCTCGGGAGCAAAGAAACGGCGATGAGCCTTGGGGCTCCTTTCCATCGGGGGCGCGCAAACATGGATTAGCGATCCATAGATTTGGCGCGCGGTCGCCAAATCCACGGATCGGGGGAGGTGCCCTCCCCAAGAATGCAGCCGGTGCCGCCTCCTTCGGCGGCGGGAATCCGCGATTTCCCATGGAAACGGGACCCGTCGCTAATCCACGCCCCCTTAATCCATGTATGCGATCGCCTGAGATGAGCCTTGGGTCTCCTTTCCAGCAGGGCTCTCTACCCCCATGCCGAAGAAGGGGTGTGGGGAAGAACGTTAGAGCGCAAGCCAACACTGCACAACCACGGGGTGCGTCCTGGAAGCATTGCGGATCGCGCTGGAACTATAGCGTGCAGCACCGATGCCGAAGAGCACGCCATCCCCAAGGAGGCGACCCCCCCGAAAAGGCCCTTTTTCGGTGCACGCCATGCCCCTGCCAAGGCTCATCCGGTGCAAGCTATCCCCGAGGCGGGGGGACCGTGCGCAAGAAGCGGGCCGGCGGTGCTACAATCGCACGCTGTCTCTCCAGCGCCAACCTTAAGCCCCTTCTGGACCGAATGGCCATACTCTGGAAGCCCATCATCCCTCTGGGCGTATATGTTAGATGCATCGAACATTCCCCAAAATCTCCTTCCCCTTCGGGGAAGGGTTTTTTGCCCCTGCCCCTGCCCCGCGCGGAAGGCTTCCCCTTTGCCTGTTGACAGGATGTGGCAAACGACGACAGGGGAGGGGAGGGGAGGGGAGGATATCATGTCTACGAGAAATGGCAACGAGGCCTATGAAGAGAACGTGTGGCAGTGAAGACGACGCTGACGGCACACAAATCAGTGTGGCTTCATCCGCTCAGACCAGCGAGTCCATCAGCGCAGGCTTTCCGACACCACGCTCGCTGGTCCACCTTTCATCATACAGCCCCCGCGCTTTGGCCGCGACGCAGTCGCCGAACGCTGGGCCTCTCTGCCCATCAGCACACACGGCGACAGGATCGGCACACGTGCCCGAGCTCGCCACGCTCGTGCTGACGCTCCTCCGACGGCCTGGAGACGCGACGCCTCGCCCAGCGGGCCGACCTTCGCGGTGAGCTCGCCGAGGGATCGGTCGAGGCGCCCTTCGAAGCCTCTGGCTGGCCGTTGGCCAAGCCTCCCGGCGCCATCTCGTGGAAGTGCATGGGGCGCGGCCGTTCGCGAGCCGCGCCGCCAGGCTGCAAGACGAGCTGCCACATGCGCGCGAGCGCGCACCGGGCGAGGGAGTCCTGGGCCCGGTGCCGGGAAAGGGGGCCGCGGACCCTCACTCACACAGCCATGCCGGGGTCTGCCACAAGCTGGCGCTGCCGGAATGAGGCGTCACCCCTGCCGCCGCCGTGGCCACCTCCTATACCTGTCCGGCTCCGCCTTGCCTCGCGCAGTTGACCACTGTTGGAATGTTGATGCCACCTCATGGCGCTAAGATAGCAAATCTCCCGTCGACACAACCCCCCGCAAGGACTCCGCAAACGCAGTGGGACTCGTGTTTGCGGGGGGACGCAGGCCCGCTCGGTGCCTGAGGTCGCCGTGTTGGTGTCGATGCCCTTGGCGATGGCCAAAGGTGGTGAGACTGACGCAGCACCTTGCTGTGAGTCGCTCGGCGTGCGCGGCGTGTTACTGCTGCGCGCAGCACGAACCCAAACATTGGCACAACCCAGCGCTGAGAACGCGAGCGATGCTTGTGAGACTGGAACTTTTTTTTGGGAGGGGGGGGGCATGTGAGACTGGGACGAATAACCGTCGCGGTGGTAACATGGGATGAGCCCATGCTCATCGACGGTTGCCCATACAACGGGGTGCGCTCTGGATGCCGGTGCGGTTTGGGCCTCGTGCCGGTTCGCTCGGAATGCGAATTGCCCAGGGGTGTGCATATCACGGCGTGCCGACGGGCGATCCTGGGGTTATATCCTTGAACGCCACACGTTAAGGGAATGCGGAATGCATCCTTTTGGGGAAGTGCGCATGTGCGTCCACATCGTGATCTGCGCAGATCCCATGGAGGCCAGCGGCCTGTTACCACGCTCCGCCACCAGACTACGTACAATTGCGGCGTATGGGGTACAAAAGAGATGCAAGAGAGACAGAGAGAGGTAGAGACAAACAAAAACAAACACCCTTTCCTGAAGGGGCCCTGGAACACACACATAAATACACACAAGTAACACTATTCCCCATATCTTCTAATGTTTTCCCATATTTTCTGGGGAGTCGACGATTCATTACGTCTGTGTGTTTTTATCCCTCCTGATTTCCATCGACCAAGATGACATCCGCTCTGGAACTCGAGCCAAAGGGAGACGGCGCACCCTTCTCGAGTGGAGGGGCGGCGGCGGAGGGTGACCCGGACGCTGGGTCGTGCTCGGGCCGTGGGGCCTCTTGGAGCCTCGGCCTACGAGAGGCCGCAAAGAGATCAAAGACATCCAAGGACGAGTGCGGGAAGAGGCAGAAAGACGAGCCGCCAGGCCACGAAACGGCCTCGAGGACCACGGGGCGATGCGGCGCCTGTGCCGCTCCCGTGCTGCAGCTCGGCCGCGCCGGATGCGCTCGAGCTGCTCGTCCGAAGGCTCTAGAAGAGTAAACGGAGGCGGGGGAGGAGGAAGAGGAGGAGGAGGAGGGAGTGGAGGGGAGGGAAGATGGGGGATGAGGGAAGGGGGAAGAAACAGGAGGACGACGACGCCCCCCCCCCAAGAAAGAGTGGCCGAGCGCGCGGAGTCGGCGGGGCCCACCGGGTCGTACCTGCGGCCCCCGGCGCTCCGCGCGGCGCTCCGCGCGGCGCTCCGCGCGGCGCTTCGCGCGGCGCTGCGTGCAGCGCCTGCGGTGGCGGCGGCGACGATCCCCCCCCCTTAGGTCCCCTGCACCTCCACGGGAGGGCCCGCTTCGATTCCTCCTGCTCCTCCTCGAGAGGATTCTCCCGGCGGCGAAGATCACCCCTTTGGTCCCCTGCACCTCCACGAGAGGGTCCTCTTCGGTTCCTCTCCTCCTGCTCCTCCTCGAGAGGATTCCCCTGGCGGCGACGATTCCCCTTCGGCCCCCGTCGTCTCCACAAGAGGGTCCTCTTCGATTCCTCCTGCTCCTCCTCGAGAGGACTCCCCTCCATCCCCCCTGAGGGTCCTACTCGGTCCTTGGCCTCCGCCTCCCCCCCGAGGAGGAAGGGCGGAGGAGGGAACAGGTCTACAAGCCAGCCTCCTCCTCCTTTCTCCCCCTCCCCCTCCCCCTCCACGTCCTCCTCCTCCTCCTCCTCTTCTTCCTCTCTCCTCCTCCTCCTCCCCTCCTCCTCCCCCTCCCCTCCCCCTCCCCCTCCACGTCCTCCTCCTCCTCCTCCTCTTCTTCCTCCTCCTCCTCCTCCTGCTCCTCCTCCTCCTCGTCCTCCTCCTGCTCCTCCTCGTCCTCCTCCTCCTGCTGCTCCTCCTCCTTCTCCTCCGCCGCTATCCGCTTCCCCTCGTTCCTCCTGCCCAATCTTTCCCATCTCGAGGCGCAGCCAAGACACGAACGGGTCTGACACGGACAGGTCAGGGGCCGCCCGGAGCCGGCGGATCTCGCCACCCGCCGCGCGCTCCAGGGGGAAGCACCCCCCTGGAGAAGGGCGCGACCAGGAGCACCACGAGGAGCAGGGGACCACGACACACCACCTGGCCATCGCTCGGACGTCCATTTCCTGTGTTTTTTTTTCCCGTTTCGTGCGTGTTTTTTTTCGCCAAATGATCAAGGATGTTCCTCGATGGTCCTCGCCGAGGAAAAAACGCACACGTCCGAGCGATGCCAAGCCACAGCAAGGAGCACGAGGAGGCACGCTGCCGCACGGGGCGCCCCGGAGGCGCCCCCGCCAGGTGGCGGCGAGGGCCAGCACGGGGGCCAGGAGGGGGAGGCACTGCGCGGAAGGAGAGAGTGGAGAACGGAGTCTTCGCCTCCTTCTCCCCATGTCCTCGGCATCATCGTCCGCATACCCCCCGCCGCTCCCACCCGCCCTCGCTTGCTCCCTCCCTCGCTCCCCCTCTCTCTCTCACCCGCTCCGTCCCTTCTCCTCCTCCTCCTCCTCCTCCTCCTCCTCGTTCTCCTCTTCGTCCTCGTCCCCGTCCTTCTCCTCGTCTTGGCCCGTCCTTCTCCTCATCGTGATCCTCGCCCGTGCTTCGCCCTCGCAGTCCTCGTCCTCGCCTCCCTCGCCTACGCAAGAAGGACGGTCGTTGAAGGGCACTCTCCAGCGAGCGCCGCGTAGTAGTGCGCGCTCTGAACCTCGGGGGGCAGCAGCGACAGGGCGCAGCAATGATCTGCGAACTACCGCTGAAGGAATGCTCTCGACATGAGCTTTGACCTCTGGACTGTGCGCTGGCGGCACGAAAACAACATGTGAGACTATATTCAAAACGAGCGCCTTGATACATGATTCCTCGAAGCCTACTTTGCCCGGGTTTCTGACTGGGACAAGAGGTGGGTGGTGGAGGGAGGGAGGAGATGTTTGGGACTGATGTTTGACATATTTCCCCGAATCATCTGGCGACTTGACGAGACGGCCAGAAATTGTTCGCTGTATTCTGTAGAGGCTGCTTCCAGGCCCCAGATCAGCCAAGCAAAGGGCTGGGATGAATCAGCTCTTGTTCAGTGTAAAAAATCAGCGCAGGGGCCATTTTGTGCCAGGCAATGGCAGCGGTTGAACCAACGCCGTCGAAGATCAGAGTGGGGGTCCGAGCGATCTTACACCAGCCCCAAGTGCGTGGCTGAAATGGGGTTCCGGGGTGAGGATTGTTGAGCTCTCACTACTGAAGACTAATTATGGTTGACACCCCTCGGGTGACCATTGAAGTGCTTTCTCCAGGGGTCGCATCCTTTTTTGTCAAGGAAAGTCACTCGGTTCAAACTGCGTTGTTGGCCCCCCCAACTACAACAACAACGGCTCCCGCTTGATACCTTCTTAGAATTTATTTCCAAATCGCGCTCTCGCGCGGTGTTTCCTCATACGTTATGCAAGAATCGCGCTCTCGCGTGGGATTTCTTCGCAACTTCTTCAAGCGCCGCGCCCTCGCCATTCAGAAGTCACGCTCCCGCTGTGGATTTCCTCACGATTGATTTGGGAATGGAGCTGTCGCTCGAGACTTTTTGCGATTCGTGCAGGACGCACGCTTGAGCAACCCGCCTGCTCGACCTGGCCGCCTGGGCCCTCCATCCCAACGCGCCTGGTAGGGTCTACGCGCCCGATCTGCCCGTCTGGTTCTGCCACGTGCTTTCTGCTCCTAGCCCGTCGTGTTCCATCCTCCTCACTCCCCCCTTGTCCTTCATTCCGTCCGTCCTCTCATCCCCTACCTCAGGGGCTGCTCGTCTGCCCGCGACCCACCCCGCGATCAACCCCGCGACCAACCCGCGACCCACCCGCGACACATCCGCAACCCACCCCGCGACACACCCGTGACCCACCCGCGCTACTTTCACAAACAGATCGGCGCCTGCGGCGGGCTTCTTCGAAATACCTCGCGGGTCTCGCAGCCCACTTTTGTCCGCAACTGTGGGGTCGATGGGATTCAGGTGGCGTGGCGGCTTGGTGTACGCCGTGTCTCGGCCGAGGAAGGGGCCGAGCGCCGTGGGGGCAGGCGGCGGACTGAAAAAGGGCGAAGGTCGCTAGAGATATCTAATCCCACCAGCCCTCTGGGCGGGGCGCAGGTGGTCCAGCGCGTTTCCTTTTCCAACCTCCTCCCTTTCCCTGTTCGGGAGGTTTACCCCCCCCCCGCCCTGCGTCTGGACGGGGGGGGGGGCGATGTGCCAAAACGTTTCTCTTGGCCCAAGATCGCTCCAGGGGGGCCCCAGAGACTCCAATATTGCCTCCAAGATGGCCCAAGGTAGCGGTAGACGGGTCATGATAGCCTCCGACACGCGTCCAAGAGGCCTCAAGACGGCCCCAAGACGGTTTCAAGTGCCCTCCGAAGCCTCCAAGGACCCCCCCAAGAGGCCAGCATCCTTCGAAAACCTAAAGACAATCAATGTTTTTAGCCTTCTCGCTTTTTCGCATCCAAAGGGCTCTTGAGGCCTCAATATGGCCCCAAGATGGCCCAAGACAACCCCACGAGGGGCCCAAGAGAGCCGCAAGACGGCCCCAAGAGCGCTCAAGAACGCTCCACGAGCGGGCCAAGAGGCCCCCCAAACTGCATTTTTGAGCCTCCGAGGGGGGGGGGCAAGAATTAACGCCGCCCCTCTTTTTGAGCAATACGGCCTAAGACGGCCCCAAGAGGCCTCCCAAACCACTCCCAAGAGCCCCAAGAAGGCTCCCTGACCCCTCAAAACAACCCCAAGAGGGCCCCAAAACGCCCCAAAAGAGCACCAAGAAGCCCCAAGAAGGCCCTATGAGGACCTCAGGAGAGCCCCCCCCGAAAAAAACCAGGAGTCCCCAAGAGGGACCCAAGAGAATCCCAAGAGGGCCCCAAAATGCCCCCAAGTTTCGGAACGCACGCGAACTTAATATACACATCAGTGCAACAGCCATTACGAATCATCGAAAAACCCCTCACCTCTCATCGAAGCACCATCGTATTTTGCACGGGTTTCCATCTTAAGCTTCAATGCGGGAAGCTATGTGTGATGCTTGTGTTCTCGAAGACGGCTGCGCGACTGCATGCGTTCTGCCGCCCCTGATTCACCAACTCCCCTGCTGATCGTTTCTGGATGGGCTGGTGGGGATACGCGAAGCGTCAATCAATTCTATTTCCTTTAGGGCGTAACGGCGTAACGGTCGTGACCCAGGCCCTCCCGCCACCAGGTAGCGGTAACGATCTTACGCGGGGGGCTTGGACCCAACCCTCCTCTGTTGGTGCTCGCGCGCATACTATGGCGATCTCGGCGCGGCCCCGACGTGCCCCGACCCGCCCGAGCGTTGCCGTCCCCCACGGCCCCGCCACCCCCTCCCTGGGGTAACGACCGTTAGCAAAAGCTTGCCAACTCTGTTCAGGCGGTTCAAATTTGCGCACGGGTTCACGGCAATGTCGCGAAACCGGCCCGGCCATGACGTGGCTCCCAAACCTAGCTCGACGGACGGAGGGGGGGGGGTGATGTCGGCCACGCGAGGTCTCCGCACTGGCTCTGCCAGGGGACGTCGCAGGGGATTGGCCGGCCCCAGTGAAGGCCGAACCCCATCGCTGAGCTGGGACCGACCATCCTGGTATTCCTATAGGTCAACCGTGCCATTTTCCTAGAACCAAAGAGCGTCCTAAGAAAACACACGATGCTCTTCTACTGTAAAGCCGTTTGAATAAAACAAGACAGTCGCAACCAAGCCGACCCATGCAGAAGGAAATCGAACATCGTAGTGCTCGTGGCGAAGCCCCTCCCTACCCTCCCCGCCAGGGCGGGGGGGGGGGGTAGCGAGGGGGGGCCCCGGGGGGGGGCAGCGGGTCAAATACGACGCCTCCCCGGGCGCACTTTCCTCGAGCGGGCACACACGGGATGCACTTCCTCCTCCTCCTCCTCCTCCTCCTCCTCCTCCTGCTCCTGCTCCTGCTCCTGCTCCTGCTCTTCCTCCTCCTCCTCCTGCTCCTCCTCCTCCTCCTCCCCCTCCTCCTCCTCGTCCTCCTCC